GCCGTCGACCGGAGCTGGATGCGTCTGATGGAGCGGGCCAGAGACACACAAAATGTCGTCTACTGCTGCACTCAGGACCCGTCGGTGCAGGAGCTGTTGCCGCGGTTGCTGGATCAGTTGGAGTTGTGTCAGCGCTCGTTGTCAGGCTATTTGGAGAAGAAACGACTGCTCTTTCCGCGATTCTTCTTCGTCTCCGATCCGGTTCTCCTCGAGATTCTCGGACAGACGTCCGATCCGGAAGCCATTCAGCCGCATCTGCTCTCCGTCTTCGACAACATCAAACAGGTCCGCTTCACACACAACCACGTCGGCATCGAGGAGGCCTTCTCGTCGGAGGGTGAGCGGTTGAAGGTGAGACGTGAGGCATTCAACTCGCTTGTCCGGTCGTCATGGTGACTTGTACTTGGCCATAAAGTGTGGTTCAAGGGTCATTTTGACCAGAAAACTACACGAATAGTACCCGTTGATATGGCAAAAGGCCTAAGGGTGTGTCGCTACGAGTGGGTCTGTGGAAGCGTAACCATCTCCGCCACCGGTACCAGATGCCGCTTGCAGGGATCCTGGATTACCTCCTGCCCAACCCTCTCGCCACCACTTTTTTTCCTACCCACTTATCAGTCGGTCGCTGCTAAGCGTCAAAATCACTTCTTTTTCGTATAGAAACAGACTTTAGAGGCTACTAGTAAATCAGTAATATGACATGTATTCACTCGATGTCTACTAACGGTCCTTCATCATTTAAAATGAAATAGGGTGAATACATGTCATGTTACTCATTTACTGGTGACCTCGACACTCTACTTGTACACGACAATTGAGTAGTGTAATCGATTATGACAGCAAAAGGGGTATATATACTGTACATCTGGCCTCTTTGATAAAGCAAATACAAATACACTCGCATATATCGAAGTTGACATATGACCTTAACTAACCAAATGACTTTATATTTGATCAAAGAGGCAAGATGTAGAGTATATATACCACTTTTTAGAGATTTGCCGGTGAGTTATCTTGACTCGTTAGCTTCAATTTGGTTGTGACGATGTTACCTCGCTCTGATGATGTCCGTCAAATGACGCACGAAAGCTTAGCACCTTTTCACCGGAATCGAAGCAAATTGCCTCAGAAACAACGTCAGCATGAATCTGCCAGTAAAACTAATCGACGGCTGGTCAAAAGGAATCCACCGAACCGAGCTTCGAATCTCTTCATGCAACACTTTCACTCGAAATGGAAGTAAGCTCAACAATTACTTGTCTCAGTTCCTCTTCCCAGAACTCAGCATCCGTGAGTCATAAGCTTATATGACCATTCCAATCTTCATCCCATAAATATGCTTCCAGCATTCGAGTTATTTGGGAAAAGTTTTTTCTTGAGAGTTTCTTTTTGAGCGAATGTACGCCACATCTAAAAAAGGCACGTGTCCGTTTTCTTCCACAGCCATAGTGAATTTGGCTTTTTCATCCATTTCATTTATGAAGCTCAGGAAATCGTCTAATTTTTCTTTTTCATACAACCTGTCATGTTAGGGTACATTTACTTTACATCACAGCTCACCACAAGTTCGTTTCCATTTTGCAGTATTCATGCTGACGTCGTTTCAAGAAGGAAGCAACACTTCATGTTGAAAATGAATTGGTACGGCTTAAAATAACATTTATTGAGAATAATTAGCCACTAGGTTTGATTGAGAATAACATTAATTCGATAAAGGACAGCTTTTTGAATGGTGAATACATGAGATGAGATGAGGTCACCTTTTCTCGTCTTTACTTTTGGCCCTTGGGCATTCTCTCTGAAAGGATGGATTAGCAAGTAAGTTTTTCGAATTAAGTATGGTTTTCGTAACTACAAGTAAATCAATAGTATTATTGATTTAATGGTAGTTACGAAGACAAAACTTAATTCGAAAAATAAAGTATATTCGTCGATTGTCATAGCAAATATACGTTTGCTTCATCGACAATCCCACCAAATAATGTGATATGACAAAAGGCCTGGACTTCCTTGAAATTCACATATACACTCGTGGCCATGTGGCCAAATTACTTGTTAATATGAGATTTATTCACCCAATTTCGTTTAAGGTGATGAAGGACGGGTAGAAGAAGAAATTTCCCACAAATATACAAGTTGAGCTGACGTTTTCAACTATGTGTGATTCATGTGAAATTGAATGGGAACGTCAGTTCAACTAATATCATTGTGGGAAAATTCTTCTTCTACCAGTCCTTCCTCACCTTAAACGAAATTGGGTGAA